AAAATCAGTCTGAAAGTGTCTGAATCAAAGCAAACTTTCCGCTTTTTGATCTGTTCTCTCCCGTCTCCACTAAGTTCAAAAAGAGGGTGCAACTGAAAATCTACTTGGCCTGTTTGCGATTAAGTTAAAGGAATTGTTTCTTAAAATAGAGCGAATCTGATATGTAATTGACACAATGACAGTTGCCGCTGTAGCAGCTAAAAAACAACCACTGCTGAGATCTTCACTGTCTTTCCGGTGGTAGTCCCTCCCCCCATCCTTCTTAGTCACAGACAGCCAGACCCAAGTCATGTAAGGTTTGGGAATCTTTTCCAACCATAAACAAGGATTTATCAGTGCCGACTACTGTCGTGATATTGCACAATACCCCTGAGCACTGAAATGTTCAAAGATTTACCATCACTACCTACCTGTCACGTTTATGCGTACGATTTTGTACGATTTCTATGATGGTTAAGTTTAGGCGCGGATTTAGGTGTGGTCCTTCATGCGAATTCCTGCAAATTTGCCACCTCGTAAAATACGTTAAAAAAAATTACAAATCGTATGAATTTGTATGAGTGAGGTTGTACGAATTTGTACAAATTAGCCACCTTGTCAAATAGGCTATGTACGAATTGCCATGAGATCGGGTTGGATTCTTTAGGGTCTTCATGAAATGTCTGTAACATACTTTGGTTAAAGGGGTGGTTGATTGTAGTGATGGAAAGTCCGATTCATTTCCGCAAACCGGTTCTTTTTTCATTGAACCGGTTCAAAAAGCCGATTCATCGGTTCCTGACGTCATCAAGCAATAATGTCTCTATGCATTTCTTTTCTAACAACTCAGTGCCATGCTGTATCAATGAAAAATTCAAACAAGTCATTTGTGTCAACACATATTGAAAACATTCAAAAATAAAGTTATTTGTGTGAAAGCATATTGCTGATTTTTGCCATATAATTTAATGGTGTTTGTGGTCACAGTTTCATTCGCGGATCCTCAGATACGACTGACTGTCCAATATTGCCTAGCCTACAACTTGGATAAGATTCCTAAAAGTTTCACACCTACAGCACACATTACAGACATTGATGCACAAACGCGGTTATGTTCTACATGTCTACAGTATAAAGAATGAATATACCAGTCTTAAAAACTTTGCTTAAGCAACTTTAAATATAATATGCATGCACAATAAACTATTGTAAAAATTATTTACATCACTCGACAGAAAGGTTTTTGCAGGTTTTAATAAAATGTAAATTAATAACTCAGTTCGATTTGTGAACCGGCTCAACCGGTTACTTCCTGAGAACTGGCTCAAAAGAACGATTCATTCAAGAACCGAACATCACTAGTTGATTGTGATTTCACTTTTTTAACGTTAGTTAGTGTGTAATGTTGCTGTTTGAGCATAAACAATATCTGCAAAGTTGTAAGAGAAGATTACCATGCAACCAGGGAAGGAATTCTATTTGAAAATATTTATACAGCCCTGCATTGTGGCCCCTCTTGGCATGGTGCCCCTGGGCATTATTTCAATGTTAGCTTAGCTTAGCTTCAAGGAACTGCTTTACCCGTTTTGCAATGTGACAGGGGCATTGTCTTGCATGAATTCCAGCTGCAGTGTTGAACCGATTCCCCATTGAGAGTCTCCGCATTTTCCTCTCTTCTCGTGCATTTGTCTTCCATGGATGACCAACCTTTTGGGGGGACTTGAATTAAAAAGTGTCAATGTAAATCTGCAATATTTGAGAAATTACAGATTTGGAATGACAAACTTTTCATGCAGTGGCTGCATGATTTCCTGTTAGATTTTTGTGTGTTACATAAAGAATTGCGTATTGTGTTTTGCAAAAAGTGTTTTATGAAATTGAAAACTGAGTAAAAGGCTGAGAATTAGTGTATGGTTTTGCAGATTTGGTGTGTGGTTCTGGTGTTTGTGTCAGGTTTCAGAAATTGTGTAACAACCAAAGATTTTGTGTAAGCAGTTGAAAAAAAAAAAACTGTAAATGCTTACACACAATTCAAATACACACCATAATACAGTACAGTAAAAAATAAAATTAAAAAAAGTAAATTTAGTATCATTCTGCCACATTTCATTACAGTACACTCTGTGAAAAATGCTGGGTTAAATACAACCCAGTGCTGGGTAAAATAGGGACAAACCCAGCAATTGGGCTGTTTTGACCCAGCGGTTGGGTTAAATGTTTAACCCAACCTTCTGGGTAGTAACCCAACCGCTGGGTCAAAACAACCCAATTGCTGGGTTTGTCCCTATTTTACAGCACTGGGTTGTATTTAACCCAGCATTTTTTAGAGTGTATACAGTACTAGCAGTTTCTTGGTCTCCTGACACAAGACTAGCTATATCTCTAGGCAGTCATTTCTCAGTTCTGCAAAAATGCAGTACACATAAAAAATGGTTACAAACAAAATTTTGGCAGTCACACGTTTGAAGGTGTACAACGTGCTACAGTTTACTGTACATATAGAATAGTTAAATTTCCATTATCTAATGCACTGGTACTGAACTGTAATTATACTGTATGTGTAAGTATAAAACCCCTGTAGATGATTGGCTCAGCTCTCTCCGTTGTTAGGATGCAGAGATTCTGATTGGTGTGTCATCAGTTTTGCTACCTAATGTTTAACTTACTCATTGTTAAACTTTTTGAGAAATGTGTCTTTGTTTGTTTTGAAAACTGAATTAATGGTTTGGGGAAAAAAGTGCCAACTAAAATCAGTTATATGTTAACAATCGAGAAAACTGCAATACAACTAAATTCTAACCTAACTCTGCTATTAGTTTTCGTGATCGGCATCTTATTGATTTCATGTTATTGTTACGGCTTATATCCATGATGAAAGTGGAGTGATCGGTCGGAGAATCGGGTAACCAAACAATTACGCGATGCATCTCAGACATATCCGGACGGCATTAGATTTCTCAGAGGACTTCTGAGTTAGCTGAGCAGCAGTAATTATCTGATTCACGAACTGGGCCGTGCTTTGTGGTTTTGACTCCAGTTCATAAGAGTCGTTTAATGAAGCCGACTACCCTGGCACGTGTAGTCGCCAGTGGTTGCGCGTGCAACCATCGTGCACAGTTTATTAACAGTCGTGTTTTTCTGCCATTATTTTGCTACTCAGTCATCGCCGCGGCTGAAAAGTAGCACATGAAACACTGCTTACATTTATATTTTATTCTGTCATAATTCTGGGGTGGCAGGTGGGGTGGTCTACAGCTTTTTCTTAGGGTGGCAGCTGCCACCCCGTGCCACCCTGCCGTTTTGCTAACTGATTTGACAGTTTCTTTGAAAAGAACTTAGGGAATACGGAACACACGACATGATCGCTGATATAGGCTACTGACAGAAATATTGAGTATAAGTAAAACAAAAGAAGTAGTTTAAAAGTCAGCATCCCAACACAATGGTCTTGTGTTCACAAATTATTCTTTTGTAAAACTTTAGATGTAGGCTACACTCCCGCATAAAAACAAAACATTTCGGTTCTGCAAAAATCACATAATTAAGTTTTGTAATGTAACAGTGAACTCTAATAAAATAATTTGTATCATGATGTTTACCTACTATAATCATGGAATTTATCAAACGTAAAAAAAAATGTTCTTTGTTGTTGCTGTTTTCTAGCCTACTGTAGTTTAAAAAAAAACTAACGGGGGCAAGTGAATGGGCATGACGCAGCTCGTTATTCAACTCCGAAGATTCATAAAGCTAACGACAATAAAACCGGTGCATATTAACATTCTAGAATTAAAACACTCCCGCAATATTGACTACAACGTTCACTTTATATGTCTACGTACTCTTGTACACAGCGTTGTAAAAACATAGCCTACCTGGTTTTGAGGATCGGGGCGCTCTGACTGACTGAGAGCGCATTGAGCGCGGGACGGGTCAGTTCATTTTTGGATGTTGATTACGTAATGACGTAAAAAAAAGAGCAAAACTTCTAAAGTTTAATACGATTTAAAAACACAGATTTTCTCAATTTCTGGAGAAGAGCATTTTAATTTACAGAATAGATTTAAAGAAATAAAATAAATATAACACAGCTTTTATGCAGGTCCAACAACAAAAAGTTATTCCATCTTTGAACTGACATTGTCTATGTCATATATTACAATGTTGTCTTTTCATTTGCTCTGTACAGCCTACTACGGATAATTACCTAACTATTTTTCTAATAATGCACCCATCATAGTGTTTTGAGGCGCATGTAGCCTATTTTTTTCAGTCAGCTAGATACGACTTAGACGAAATTAGCTGCTTCCATATATGGAGAAGACCACTGTTCTAGCCTCAGCCAAAATGCGGAAGAATTTGATGATGCAGGTGAAATATTAGCTGTCCAGCAAGGATACTGAGGATTAAAGCGTTCAGTGCAGGAATTTGTTTAATTTATTATTTTCCTGCCAATCTATACTGCTAGTTTTAATGTATTTTTAATGAAGTATGCATGTAAACATACAGTAGTACCGAAGGTATCAATGAATGATTTTGTTTGAACTTAATGTCAAAGGATGGTGTGATTATCTATTGGTATATTAGAAATATTCAAACAGATAAATACAAATAAACACAAGTTCATGAATTGTATATTTATTAGCAGTAACCCTTTATTTTGATAGTCCAATTTAGATATTCTACTAACACCTAAGTAACTTTGCAACTAAATGTCAACTAGCAGTCATTAGAGTATTTGTAGACTGTCTGCTTAATATCTTCTAACACTTAATTTTGATGGGTCCACAACATACTGACTATAAGAAACTTTGCAAGTATATGTCAGCTTATTCTACTAACCCTAACAGTCTACTCTGAGAGATAGTAGACATGTAGTTGCAAAGTTACTAATAGTTAGTAGAATGTCTAAGGTGGACTATCAAAATAAAGTGTAACGTTATTAGCAAGTAATAGTATACACCAAATAACAAATTACTAGGGAAAATGTAACTACACAGTAAATCAACCACCAAACATAGAAGACATTAGCTTTAGTTTAACAGCAGTCAACAGTGGTCACAAATTGATTTCTTTGGAGGAAAAAGAGTAATAAAATAAAGCTAAATAGCCATTCTGAACTGAGCATGAAAGAACAAAGAAAACGTGATTAGGTATAAGTTGACTTATTTCTCCAAGTAGCCATTTTGAGTGACAGGCTTCGCTAACATCAGGAATTGTCTTCATTCTCCTCAGCCTCTTCAATATATCTGATGTAAAGAGAAGAACTTTTGAGGACAGAAGCTAATAGACCAAACTGAAGATATTAATCACTGAATACATAAAATTTACTTTGTATTCCAAATATTTTCTGCTGTGAAGGTCTTCATTTAATGACAAGTGTAAAATTAACAAAAATCTTTTGACTGCACCACAACTTACTCAAAGTGTGTCTCATGCTTTGAGAAAATAGACAGGACGAAGGAGGCAGTTTGACCAGGATTCTCTGTGCACGGTACAATCAGGTACTCTCCTGGCTCCAGCCAGAAGAATCCCATCACCTCTCTTGAGTTTTGGAAAGACTTCATTTCCACAGGTGTTTTGTCATTAAAGAACTCAGCTGAGAACTTCCCACTCTCACCTCTCACCTAAAGAAGAATTAGATGAGTCAATACTGTACTCTCAATATTTGACTATATATAGTCAGATATTTGTGAGTTAATATTTACTGATTTACTTAGGATGCTGACTGTAGAAGTATAAAAAAGTTGCTAAAGTAGCAATGACATGAAAGAGACACACAAACCATATTTGTTTTATCCAGCTACTAAAAATATCTCTAGAAAAATATATTATTTCTCCTTTTAATTATCATTCACTTGTACATTTTACGAATACGTTACAGTTTTATTAACCAATCTGTAGCAGACAAATTACAAGCATATCAAAAACAATAAATACAAAAAATACAAAAAATGAAACATGTTATAGACATTTAAGAAACAGTGCTACAACTCTCCTACAATCTCTCTGAAATGTAAAACCTGCAGAACTACATCTGTCAATACTGACCTTAAAAACATAGAAACCAATCATGAAGTTCTTTTGGCTACTTCTGGTTCTCTTCTCATGGTTCTGCATGAGCGACACCAGTATGTTTTCAGCACCCTCCTCATGAGTACAGTCCTCACTAAGCTCCTCGATCCTCACCCGAAACTGAGGGTTTTTCCAGAAAGTCGCTAAAACACAGCGAAAGAGTTAGAAGTCTTTTTATAAATCAACCCCAGGTCGGATGCTTAACAATAATCATCTGCATTCTTTGTATGGTGAAAATGTATGCTCAGTAAGAGGGCCTTTGGAGGAGGTCACAGATGAAAACATCCCCAAAATCCATAATCCAGGGGGAAGTTCTTATATTAACTCATTATATTCCATACTTTCCCATTGTTTTTTATTAAGAGTATCATTATTGAAACCACAATTTATACATTCATTTATAACATATAGAAGCCTATATATTACTAGATATAAATATAAACATACTAGATATTAAAAAAAATAATAATTATATCACTGTACCCATATTGTCCATGGAACCACCAGCTGTAGTCCCAGCAATCCATTTGCCAAAATTGCATTGTGATTTCCAATGGCATCCAGAGGATCTGTCCAGAAAATCAGGAGAGAGACAGCAGATATCCAAGCTTTCGAAGTTTCTGGTAAAATCTTCAATTGACGTCCTGCAGAACAGACATGTGTTCCTAAGTAAATGTGATTCATGCTTTGAATACAGTCATATATTACAACATTAATGCTGACCAGAACTCCCCGTTTTCAAGACGTTCACGGCACTTGAGGTCCTGCTTACTCACTGTGTCCCACAAAGATGATCTGAAAGAATTAAATACATTATACACGCAATATATTTCATGTGTCATACCAGCAACACAGCAGCCCTGTAAAATCAACCAGCAAATGCAAACAAAATAATATTTAATAGGTGAGGTAATAGGACAAAGTGATTAGGTGATTATTGAAGATGTACGTTTTCTGATGCAATGAAGAACTTGTGAAACTGTACATAAAAGCAACACTTACTTGTCACTCCAGTCTCCATTCCACTCTGTATTTCCCCATGGGTTTAACACTCTCACCAGATGAACTGGATTTCCTTCACTCATCACCTATTCAATAAAACCAATAGTGTTTCTGTAGGTTTCAAACATTTTTAAGACAAAATACAGAAACAATTTAAAGGGGGCATAAACGCACAAAAAATAAAATACATAGTCATGTATATTATAATCAGGAAAACATAAACGGGTTTGATAATAATTTATTGTCATATGCACATTTCCCTGTACAATGAAATTCTTACTTTGCTTTCCACTCTGAGTGTCGCTAATAACAAACACGAATAAAGTATTAATAAATAAGAAAAAAAAGAGACATAAATTACAAATATACAAACAGTGCAATATATAATAGTGCAATACAGTACTGTACAATTGTATAAAGTCTGTGCAAGTCACATATGTGCATCTCACAAAAACAGCGTTGAAGAGCGGAGCAAGCAAACACGTCTGCCAGGGCGCCATCTTGCATTAAGCATTGCATTTGTGACTAATGCTTTTTGTGAATAATGCAGTTAATCAGCGAAAAAGCATAAAGAGAGCACAGTGCTTTAACAGAAGTTTGAAAAGAATATTTCTCAATGCACTTTAAGGTATTTGGTTTCTTTCTAGCAATGAAACTTCATGGTCTTACCTTGAAAACACCTGTCACAGTGTAAGCATGATCCCCAACTATGCCATTGGGTGACACAGCTTCACGTGTTTCCTGATTTATTTATATAATCAAAATCAAACAAGAATACACACATCAATGATGTTTATAATGTTAATATATCAGTATACAGCAGATCAATGTGTATTTGTGAATAAAACCTTTAAATTAAACCTGTTCATCACACAAAGTGAGTGTGTCTCTTCAGAGGACTTGGATTAAATTGCTGAATTCATATTCATTACTTTTGTAATGTTTTTATTATTATTATTTTCTTATATTTATTTATTTTTTTGTACATGAACATTTTGGTTGCATGGTTAGACAAAAATAAAATATCGTCAATTGTGTTTCAAAGATAAATAGACGTCTTATGAGTTTTGAAATGACATGGGGGTGAGTAAATGAGGAAAGAAATTGTTTTGAGTGAACTAGCCCTTTAATATAATTCCACTCCATGACTCTCACTCTTTACAAACACTTATGTAAATCCTAATTACATATACAGCTGAAGTCAAAAGTTTACATACACCTTGGAGAATCTGCAAAATGTTATTTTACCAAAATAAGAGGGATCATATCCTGTATGATTTTGAGATCCATCTTTTCACACTGAGGACAACTGAGGGACTCATATGCAACTATTACAGAAGGTACAAATGCTCACTGATGCTCCAGAAGGAAAACGATGCATTAAGAGCCAGAATGAAAATGTGTACATTTTTCTTATTTTGCCTAAATATCATGGTTTTTTTCATTGGGTACTGCCCTTTTTATTTGAAGATATTACATGTTTCCCAGAGGTTTGCATGTTTACATATGAGTACCTCAGTTGTCCTCAGTGTGAAAAGATGGATTGCAAAATCATACAGTCATTGTTGGAAAGGGTTCAAAAAAACTTTCCAAAACCAAAGAATTTGTGGGACCTGAAGGATTTTCCTGAAGAACAGCAGGCAGTTTAACTGTTTTGGGCAAACATCTTATTCAGGTCGGTACTAAATAAACAATAGCATGCATTTTGTATGATCCCTCGTATTTTCGTAAAATAATTAACATTTTGCAGATTCTGCAAGGTGTATGTAAACTTTTGATTTCAAATGTATTTCTATATCAATGGTTCATGCCAACAGTATTTGTCGATGAAGCATTGAATCCAGGATTATGAGAGGTCTTACCCCGTGATAAGAAGCACAGCCCATGAGGGTTTGTGACTTAGCTGCACAATCCATAATGTCCCACAGATAAGTAGGGGCTTCATTCAACACAAACTCCATGTGCACCCCACCAGTGAAGTCCATCAGGGCTTCAGACATGAATCCGCCATCTAGGTCTGCGTAAGATCCGCACACCCTATAAAGCCAAAACCATTTTATGGTGCAGTGTAATGTAGTAAATATGATGTAATGTGCCCTGTCAATGTTTAAAGATGTTACTGTGTTCCTCCTCACAACAACATCCAAATCTAGAGGGCAAATCAAAGCTAAGAGCATGCATATGTTTCACACATCAATATTCTTGAGACTATAAACAATAAGTAAATGAATTCCGTCTTTATATCACAGCATCTGCTGGCACCTACTTTGCATAAGCTTTCTCCAGTAAGGCAGGCCAAAACTCATTAGATGTTTTTGAACCCACAAAAATGAGCTTGTCATCAATTGTTGGAAGCAGATCATCAATGACAACATCAATCCATTTCCCAAATCGCCAGAACTGTAAAATGAATTACACAGAGACAAAGATGACGGAAAAGGGTTAAGGATTAAAAAGAGAAACCATGTTTTCGTAATCATCAAATTCATTCAAAGATTCATAAACACCCTTACCAAAAAGTAGTATACTTCAAGTTTATTTTATTAACTGACAAATCTAATAATGAATGTGATTATTTATGTGTGTTTTATCATACTGTTCATACATGGTTATTTTAGTTGATGTGTAATGCTACTGAGAAACTGAGATAATGACCGCTTAGAGCCCATGTCATAGTATATTCAAATAAACCCAAACTTACCCAATTTGGAGCCTTGTTCGTAATCAAACCTGGACATTCCATCAATAGTGAAGAATGGTTTACCAGGTGACACTAGTTTCTGTTCAGACAGAATCATCAAAGTCCTGGCCCAGGAAATGGAAGCGTCAGTGCAAATTTTGTCAGGAAGACTCCAATGACACGTCATTCATTCATACTAACAGATGTCGTCTGAAGACAAACTATACAAACAGAAAAATGTCTCAAAGTTGGTATTTTTAAAGTCATGTATTTAAAGTTAAAGTCATGTATTTTAATTGAGCTGTGACCTTCTACAGTACTTTCATATTATCCTGCGCTGTTCCTGCCCAAGTGTTGTAATACTCAAGTATCAGTACAATAAAACAAAAATTAAAACTAAAAAGGTTAAAACAACAAAAACAAAACATATCTGTGCAAATGGATTAAATTAATTACAATTTATAAATTAAAAGGATCAAAGTAAGAAATACATCACACCTGCAAGGATCTGGTTGGTCAGGGAGTTACCGTAAAAGACTGCTTTTCTTCCCTGTGTCTGGTTTTATACTCGACACCTGTGCAATATTGTTTTTCTTTTTCTTTTATTGCTATACATCCCACCCTTTACTTTGTGTTGAGATTGTTTTCCTGCCATTCAGGCGACTTCATAAGGTAAAGCATGACAGTGTGTAAAGAATATTCAAATACCTCACACCTACAGTATGTGACGTTATGGTCCAGAATTACAACATTCCAAACTCAATCTCCTTGAAAGACTGACTAAAGTAGGTAACAGTCTAACATTTTACCCAAAAGCATCATGGTGATAATAGATTGTGAGGTGTTGCATAATGCTGCTTTTAAAATCGTGACATTAACGCAAAACTCTCAACCTTCAGTTTTTTTTCTGGCCTTAAGATACGTTTAGTTATTTTGATAGCTCCCTTGTATATATCAGGTTTTCTTAAAAAATTGAGAAATATTTCAGTGAATTTGTAGTCTGTACTCATCAATCTGCGTATAAATAACACGGCTTTACACCTTCTAATTGCGTGTAATGCATACGCCAAATGCAAATTTTGCGTGCATATGATACGCCAATCCTTCACATTAACTTCAGTGGAGAGCAGATGCGTCCAAATACCACGCGTCATCTTCAGCGACAGTGACGTCACCAGCGAGGCTCAGTTCGTCCAATTATAGTTATTGTTCTTGGTGTGAACAGCTTTAAGTGATCTGATTTCGCCAAATTAATTGAAGATCTGATTTGTAGCACATGACAAGTTAAACTAGCATTTCCAGACTCTTGCTTCTAAGACAGATGTGTTCAATAAAAATCAACATGGAAAGAAAGGCAGACTATGAGGTGTGGACAGATATCACGTACTGTTGGAACAGGAAGAGACGGCACCAATTTGTAAAGATTAATAAAGAATACAATGGACTTAATATAAACTTTATGATATAAATACTCTTGACTACTTACAATGGGCACAATCTGCATGAGTTGAGGCAATGGCCAATGACAGCAGTAGGAGTAAAAGTCGTAGAATTTAGTACGAGTACGCTTGTGCAGTATCATATGAATTTGCTGACTTGGTAAATTGTATGAATTATTACTACTTCAACATGACACTTTTCTGTGGGTTCTTCCTGATGGGGCCGTAGGGTATGTAAACCAAAGTTGAAGAAACATCAATTGCAGTGAAAAATGTCTCTGCAGTAAAGTTCAGTCAAAGTGCTCAGACCAACACAGACGTACCATTGGAAGTGTTTGCCTTTGCAAGGATTGGCGTATCATATGCACGCAAAATTGGCATTTGGCGTATGCATTACACGCAATTAGAAAGTGTAAAGCCATGTTATTTATACGCAGATTGATGAGAACGGGTTGTCTGTACACAAACCAATCATGAATCCCTTCACATTCCTCCATATAATTTATCTAACTATTAATATAAAGAAAGAATTGTATATTATTTATATTTTATAAATGGGGATTTTATATCTAGGAAGATTTTTGCCTTTTGCCCCTCCCCCCCCCGTAAAGGAATAGCACAAAAAGCCAGACACTTATCGAATTTTTCATCATTTGTGACAGGTCCATCAGATAATTCTTTAGAAGGCGAAAGCAAAACAAGACAGGCAGCACACGCGTAGTCAGTAGAGCCATATTTAATTTTTGTCAGAAATTAAAATGAGGCTGTGAGGTATAAAAGCATAGTGTGTTCAATATTTTGTGTTAATTTACAAAATAACAATAAAAAATAACCACATTATTTGCATATTTACTTTTGAGTTGAAAATATTACTAATTAAAAAAATAAAAAGTAAAATCTTTCAATCGCCCATGGTTCCAGGTAGGACCATAAAGGCACTTTACCATTGGCAATTAAAGGGGCAGGGGCTCGAACACATGGAATTAGTGCAAAAATGGCCAAAATTAATGAATTACAATAAATTATGATGAGAAATCTTATCCTATCTTAAACTAATCATACACTACATAGTGCTAAATTTACAAGCTAAAGACAAAGTAAATCAATTAATACAAATATTAATACAATTCGATAATGTTTTATTAAAGTGTTTTTAAAATCAGTTTGTACCTAAAAACAGAGTATAGTTCTTAATTATACATTAGAAATGTTCACAAGACAGCTGAATGTCTTCTCTTGTGTGGACGGTATCAATGTGACTGATATCAGACAAACAATGGTCACAAACTGACACCAAAACACTTTTTCCTGGCATGTCAAAGTTTCAAAGTCCTGCAGGAGCCGAAGCATCCGCCATTTAGATGAAAATGACTGTGTATGGATAGATCTGTATTGTAGACCTACATGTGGCCTAAAATCCCTTTATATTTGTTGTTGAGAAATATTCTTACTTCACACACTTGCTGACAACTAAAAAAAAAAATAAACTAGCACCAGAACTAGTATTAAAATAGCATCTCCTTGAATATTATTTTCTTTACACCAACAGTGACACCAAGTATTTACAATTAGAAATACATACATTACATGCATAACTTTTCAAACAGTCAAAATAGACAGAATTTTTGCAATTACTACAAACATTTAGATCATATGAAATTTGTGTATCAAATGATAATTTTAAGGAAAAGAGAAGAAAGGGTATAGCATCACAATTTGTTTATCATTTTGATATAGAAAAATAAATGAAATAAAAGAAATGTTTAGATTGCCTAAATCAATAATTGTTTTTGATGACTAAACTAGTTTCCTTCACACTGCTACTTGCGTTTGTTGGTGTAACGCAAGCCAGCAGAGGGAGCCCTCACCCGAGTACTGACCGTGCTCCACTCCCTCTGCTTCCTCTGCTTTCACTTCCTGTTTGACTCTCATATAAACTGAGACCAGTCCATGTGCTGATTGCGAAGTATTGCCAGTTTATCTGCCTTACCAAGCGTTATTCTTCCTCTGTTCCTGATTGAATTCCTGTGTATGATTCTGCCTGACTTCTTGACTCATTTCTGGTGGAGTAACATGGCATGAGACATCACCAACTATGTCAAATCTGTGCTCAGTCAAAAATCCCAAATGAATTACCTTCAGGTCTACTCAAGCCATTACCGATTCCTCAATGACCATGGTCTCATCTGTCTATCGACTTCATCACTGACCTCCCACCATCCAATAATAACACTACTATACTGGTTATCATTGACCGTTTCTCGAAGTCCTGCCGTCTCATTCCACTACCCAAACTACCCACTGCCATGGAAACCGCTCAAACCCTCTTCCAACACATCTTTAGGATATATGGACTACCAGAGGACATAGTCAGTGACCGAGGTACCCAATTCACGTCTCAGGTCTGGAGGGCATTCTGCAATCAGTTAGACATCAACGTCAGCTTAACGTCAGGCTATCACCCAGAAGCCAACGGACAGGTCGAACGACTCAACCAGGAAATCGGAAGGTATCTCCGAAGCTACTGCAGCCGTGAACAGCACAGATGGTCTGAGTTCTTGCCATGGGCGGAATACGCCCAAAACTCTCTGACTCACTCCTCTACAGGTCTAACCCCCTTCCAGTGCGTCCTAGGATTCCAACCGCCTCTGTTCCCGTGGTCTGGCGAACCCTCCTCGGTTCCTGCAGTGGACGACTGGATACAACGTAGTGAGAGGGTGTGGGACAGTGCTCATGTCCATCTCCAGCGAGCTGTGAGAACACAAGAATTCCAAGCTAATAGACGACGTCGCCCACACCCTCCCTATCAACCAGGACAACGGGTCTGGCTCTCCACGAAGGACCTCAAGTTGCGGCTACCAAGCAGGAAGCTCAGTCCCAGGTATGTTGGCCCTTTCAAGATACTAAGACAGATCAATGATGTAACATACCAATTGGAGCTTCCTGCTAACTATCGTATCTCTCCCTCTTTCCATGTGTCCCTCCTCAAACCCGTCCACTCGGGAGCTGACCCTGGCCATGAAGCCCCAGAACCACCACCACCACTGGACTTTGATGGAACTCCGGCATATAGGGTGAATGTGTTACTGGACTCGAGACGAAGAGGGGGTCAGCTCCAGTATCTGGTGGACTGGGAAGGCTATGGACCTGAGGAGAGGTCATGGGTAGCTGCCCGGGACATTCTGGATCCATCACTCATCGAGGAGTTTCATCGAGCCAGACCCGACCGCCCAGCACCGAGACCACGGGGACGTCCACGTCGAGCTCCAGGAGTCGCTCCTAGAGGGGGGAGGTTCTGTAACGCCAAGCCAGCAGAGGGAGCCCTCGCCCGAGTATTGACCGTGCTCCACTCCCTCTGCTTCCTCTGCTTTCACTTCCTGTTTGACTCTCATATAAACTGAGACCAGTCCATGTGCTGATCGCGAAGTATTGCCAGTTTATCTGCCTTACCAAGCGTTATTCTTCCTCTGTTCCTGATTGAATTCCTGTGTATGATTCTGCCTGACTTCTTGACTCACTTCTTGATATATTCCACCAAGACCAAACACATTAACACTTCCATGTATATTAGCATGCTCCCAGAGAGTTGTCATGACAGAAAAATGTTTACATCAGGATTACGTCACTCTCATCAAGAGTTATCTTCCAGTTTTCACAGAGTCTCTGGAATATCCCTGGTAAAGAGAATAAAGGCTGTTAATATGTAATAAATCCAAAACATAATACCTGGAGTACGCAGCTCAGAAGCATGAAAGGATGGAAATAACATTTTGTAAAATAAAAATGTTATTTTATTTTATTTTATTTTTCTGAAAATCAAATTGCATTGCAAATGGATTACATTACAGCGGAAGTTAAAAGCAGATCGTAAGTGTATTTATTTCTTGTCTAATTAGTGTTTAGCGCAGTTGTTTTGTTTACTGTGTTGAGACGTGCTGAAGTTGCGTTTGGTCTTGTACTGTATCACATACCTTGTCAGTGTCGTGTGCTTACTTAGCCCTTTGTTGTGATAAACAGTAAAGTGTGTTCAGCTGAAATTGAATTCAGCTGAACACACTTTACTGTTTATCACAACAAAGGGTAAGGTTAACATAAGGTTAGTACACCGCGGCAGCGGTCGCAGCAGCCCTAGTGTGAAGACCGAAGAGTGTAAAGACCATCGACTCTACTCCCCCGTGCAGGAACACAGACAAGGGTCATAATTATCACTTTTGACTCAACCTCTTTTTTACACCTTTCTTCACTTCTGTTTTTGTTTTTATGACCAACTCTTACTATGTGTTTCCATATCCCTACTATTACTACCACTCGCAAACCACACATCACACACTCTAGGCAGCGCAATCCTAACAACCTGCGCACTTTGCCTATGTCTGCTAATACACTACTTTCTTTTTATATTGGTCTCTGGAATTGTCAGTCTGCAGTAAACAAAGCAGATTGTATTATATCTATTACTAGTCATTCAAGACTAAACCTCATGGCCCTGCTCACAAATCAGGCAACCAACTGGACCTTATTTACACACGACACTGCTCTACTGATCATGTACTGGTTACTCCACTGCACACCTCGGATCACTTCCTCCTCACTCTTAACCTCTACATGGTTCCTGGCACAACACATACCCCTCCACATGTCATCTTTCGACATAACCTACACTCACTCTCACCCTCATCTCTTGATGCTAACAGTGCTACTGATACTTTCTGTGCCACTCTTACATCTTGTTTAGACACTGTCTGCCCATTGTCTACCAGGCCAGGCCGTACCACCCCTTCTGCCCCTTGGCTGTCTGATGTTCTCCGTGAGCATCGTTCTAAGCTCAGGACTGCTGAAAGGGTGTGGCGCAAATCAAAAAAGACTACTGACCTTAATGTGTATCAGGCACTCCTCTCTTCCTTCTCTGCTAATGTCTACACTGCTAAAAGAACAGACTATCATAACAGAATAAACAATTCGTCTAACTCTTGCATGCTCTTTAAAACATTTTCCTCCCTCCTTTGTCCTCCTCCTCCCCCTCCTTCATCAACTCTAACAGCTGACG